TCTCACCTCAGCTCTCCTGTTCGTTTTCCAACCACGCCCGTCTCCAGCGCCCTCCTCAGAGCCTCCTGTCCCCTCCTGGCGCCACCCTGCTGCGCTCATTCGGCCGCCATGTGCCCAGCCTCTGCGGTGCCCTCTACACACAGCACGTGGCGGTCACCAGTCTCGGGGCCCTGAGGCAGCCGCTCTCCTGGGAAGGGGCCGCTCTGGATGCCGTGTGTAGGACGGGCGGCCACCACCAGCGTGCGCCGTGGCCATCCGGGCTGAGCGCACATCCGGGGCAGCAGCTCCAGGGCAGAGTGTCTCCGGCGCGTCCTGTGCCTGGCTGCACGGTGGCCGCAGCTCTCCCGCTCACTGAAGGCAGGTGTGTAGGTGCGTGCTGCACATGTACACACACACACATGCTCCTCAGGAAAGAAAGCACCTTTTCCTATTCCTACACCTCCCAGTCCAGTATTTATCACGATTCCTCAAAAAATAGTGGGAGTGGATTAAAAACAAAGCTTCACAAAGGAAAGTTGCTTTAAGGAGAAGCTGATATTTTTCTCTGATGTTGCTGAAGAAAGAGGAAAGAGCTGCCTTCTGGCCGTTTCTCTCTCTCTGCGGTGAGGTACCAACAGCACGTCTCTCAGGGGCTGTGGGTGGAAGAGGGCGGCCCCGCCCCCTGTGCCCCAGACCCTCTGCAACGGGCTCTCCTGGGGCCTGTCCCGCCTCCCACTGCTCTGCCAGGGGTATGACCCATTTCAGAATGAGATTTTCCCCAAAGACGGTAAACCAACATGCCCCAAATTACACAACTAGTTTAATCAGACAACGTTCAAACCCAAACCTCTACTCCCCCTTCGGGAGCTACACTGACTTCCCCAAAATAGTGACCACGTACTGAGCACCAGCTTCAAGCCAGGCACCCCCAGGGCACTGCACACAATGTCGTCTCTCTCCTGGCCCCAGGCCTGGATGGGGCATTTTACACGCACATGCCGATTGTGCTTACCTGTCTTTTATCAGAGGTCTGGACAGAGGTTAGAGATAAGAGGCTGCAGCCACAAAGCCACATAGGCTGGGCAGGAGAGGACCCTCCCTAGCTCGAAATGCACCCCAGAGCCCCTAGCACTGCCCCACCAGCACACGGACCCTCGGGGGGCCTGGCCAAACGCAGGGCGACTCTCAGACCTTCTGCCTCCCGTTGTAACCAAAGCACAAGAACAAAGGGCAGGTGGGGAGGAGGCAACTTGGAAGACGTGGGTCCCACAATGGCATAAACCGGCCCCGAAGCTGCAGCCATTTCGCAGAGGCCATTTGATCCTACGTGGTGCAGAACCCCACTTCTCTGCCAGATAGGACCCACTCTTTCACCTTGAGCTGACTTATCCCTAATTCTATATGTAGAAAAAGTCAGTTTCCTCTGCCGAGTCCCTGGGAAAGGGACTCTTACGTTCAGATTCTGAGGATCCCGTCCCGGGTCTCCCACACCAGGAGGAGCCACCAGACCCCCGGGGGTGCGGCCGAGGGATGGGGCTGGACATGCCGCTGGGATGACAGTGGCCGGTCCCAGGCACCGATTAACCCTGCTGGCTGAACAGAGACACCAGCAGCCCTGGGCCTGGTAAACCAGCTCTCGGGACACGGCTTTCCATGGAAAAGACCTCTGTGACTTTTCCCAGTGGAAAAGACTGGACGGAGGATGAAATATGGGCTGCCCAGCTGGTCTTGGGTTGTGGGTGTCCACTCATTAGAAGCCTAAACAACCAAACCCACCTTTACTCAAGGAAAAAACACACCCGACACCCAGATGTGGCATTTGGAGTCCAAGGGTCAGATTTCGAGCTGCCCTGGAACCTTCCACGTTTATATCCCAAGAAAACGGCCCATCAGGAGAGTGGAGGGTCAGAGCGTGGGAGCATGCACTGGGATCCGAGGCCTGCGTGTGTCTCATCCAGCCCCTGGCAGACTGGCCGGGATGCGCCTGCCCTTGCCTGGGCCCTGGGTGCCCGCCAGACCCTCCCCAGGGCCGGGCCAGCAAGGTCAGGGCAAAGAGGGAGGCGGGGAGGGAGGAAGGACACAGCCCCATAACCCACCTGAAGGTCTCGCAAAGGCACACTGTCAGCTCTCCTCGAAGGGGCCGCCTGGACCCCGAGGAAGGACTGGGCCCAACAGCTCCCAGAGCAGGCACAAAGGGAGACCGGGTCCAGACAGCACCTGTGCGTACGGGTCTACACTGCGCGGTAGGCCCCGCTGCACCCTGCGCCTCCACCGGACTCTGACAGTGCCGGCTCCAAAGCCCCAGCTGAGGAGGGGAAGGGCGGGAGGGACTATGTGCTACTGAGGGACTGGGGAGCGGCTGGGCAGCACAGGAGGGCAGCTGGGACACCCGACACCTGCCACCAGACTTCACCAGCCACTGCCACTGCCACCCTTGGTGACCTCCGAACACTCAGCAGACTGACCAGGGCCTCTGGCTTCCAGCGCTTGCCTTCTTCAGAGCTGCCACTGCCCAGCTGGGGCATCACAGAGTTCGTCTCCCAGGAGCACGCAGGGAAGGGACACACTCAGAGCCCCTTCCCCTCCCTCTGGAAAACCAAAGCCGTCTCTCCAATCTCCAGGTTTTGAGCGGCAGCCTCTGTCGCAGGGCTCTGTGTGCTGCGGGTGGCATGGTTGTGGGAACATTCGTGTGAGTGTCTTTCCTGGCATGGCAGGCAGCCCTGCTTAAACCAGAAGTCAGGGCCAGACACGACAAAGCCACACTGTTTAAGGAACCAGGCCTAGGAGCCTGCGGGCAGGGGAAATTACGGCTGCTGGTCCCCAGACTACAGCACACGGACCCCAAAACTTCCCTTAGACCACCACCAAGCAGAGTGCCTCTCGGCCACCAGGGAACACCCGACTACGAGTGTCATTGCGCAAAGAGGGAAAGAGGTTTCTTCACCTGTGTGGGGACACTGTGGAGCCCCAATGGGAAATCTGCAGCCGTGGGCTCCAAGACCAGGTCCAGCAGTTCAACCGAGGACTGTCGGTTGGTCTCCGCATCCCTGGGGCGGCCACGTTGGTAGAGGACAGGAGCAGGCTCGAAGTCAAACTCACGCCCAGCAGAAAAATCAGCGCCATCTCCGGGGGCCGAGTCACCCAGCTGAGAGGCCTCAAGCTTCCCAAGAGCTGACCTGGCTCCTGTGTAAGTGGGAGCCCAGACCAGGCTCACCAGCAAGGAGCCCATCTGGTATCTGAAGTCCACTTGGGACACAGCCCAGCAAGGGGCCGGGAGGCCTGTGACAGCACTGCCATCCTAACTCTCGATGGTTCAGCTCCAGGCAGGTGCCGAGTGTCGCCGATCAACGGGCATTAGCTGAATGAGTCCCTCGTGCCAGCACGAAGCAGAGAACACTTGCTAGTATAGGAGAGACTGCAACGCCCACCTCTTGGGGAACTGATTTGAAAGGAGCCCCCCATGATGTTTATTTTTAGGGCAACAAATACAGGGTGAGCCGCCGAGGTGGAGCTGGGGGAGGACGTGCCATCTGTGGGCACCATCGCCAGAGCGCGTAGCCCTCGAGGGGAATACGCTGCTGGGTGCTCAGAGCAGACGGCAAATCAAACTAAAGAAAATTTGGAAGAAAGGACCTCGGGAATTCTTTGAGCCCCCTTCTGTCTTCAATCCATGACCTGCAAAAATATGTCAGATGATCCTTTTTCTCCCTCTGTAGGCTTCAAAGAAAGATCTCAGGGTGTCATTGGGTAGCATGTTTCCTCGATGTCTCACTAGCAAAGATGTGCTTTGTGGAAAATAAACGTAACTTCTGGCCCTACAGTGGTAATCTCAGCCAAATCAATGAAAAGTAAGTAGTCAGACCGATCGGCGTTCACTTTTCACGGGCTCCGCTGGGAAAGTGAAGTTCAGACTTCAAGACGCACCAAGGAGGAGACCTTGCCTGAGAAGCACGGCCCACGCAGGGCTATGTCTGCACTTCCTCCTATGTCCGAGCTTGTCTGCTTAGCTGAAAATCCTAAGGAGCAGGAGCAGAGGACTTGGGCCTAGAGCAGCCCAGAAACCAGGGGTCGTAGGCCTTCAACAAACCATGGGCACCCCCCAAAAAAGCAAGCACTGCCCATGACGCCCATCGCCCCGGCTTCCTGCCTCCCGCACTTCCTTGGGCACAAGAAGCCCTGGCTCTGGCTGGCCTGTTGTCAGCTATATTTCTGAGAAAACAAAAACTATAGCCTCCTGACTTCTCATCTGGCATCATCTGACGAAGCAGCTGAGGCACCTCGATCCACAGCAGAATCCACAAGGGCCCCCAAACAGCCGTCCGCAGAACCAGAGCTGTCAGCTTTGCTACTGACATTCTAGCCAGCAAGAAAACTAGGCAGATGGGCCAATCTAAATATTCTGGAATTGCTGGTGGGACTGCAAACTAGTACAACCTCTATGGAAAGCCGTATGGAGACACCTCAAAGAACTAAAAGTAGACCTACCATTTGATCCAGCAATCCCATTACTGGGTATTTCCCTGAAGGAAAACAAGACATTTATAAACAAGACACTTGCACTAGAATGTTTATAGCAGCATAATTCATAATCAGAAAGATATGGAAGCAACCCAAGTGCCCATAAACCCATGAGTGAATTAATAAATGTGGTATGTGTATACTATGGAGTAGTACTCAGCCATAAAAAGTGGTGAAATAAATACCTTTTGTAACAACCTGGATGGAACTGGAGACCATTCTTTTAAGTGAAGTATCGCAAGGATGGAAAAACAAACACCACAGGTACTCACTACTAAATTGGAACTAACTGATCAGCACTCATGTGCACATATGGCAGTGAAATTCAACGGAAATCAAGCAGCAGGTGTGAGGGGGGAGGAAGGGATGGGTAAATTCACACCTAACGGTATAATGCACACTATCTGGGTGATGGACACACTTACAACTTTGACTCAAACTGTATAAAAGCAATTCACGTAACCAAAAGGTTTGTATCCCCATAATACTCTGAAATTTAAAAAGATTGAAAAACTTAAAATAAAATATTCTGGAATTTGTAAGGCTTTGACGTAGCTTTCACAGGAAAAGAGAAGTTATCTCAAGGCCCCACTGTCTCCCCAGCGCTCCCAGCCAGGGGCCCCTGGAGGCACTAATAAAGTCCAAATTAGTTCAGTCTCAACACCAAGGCTTTTCCCAAAATCCTCTTTAATAATATGTGTAGGCCACACTGCTGCAATCAATATAAAAACAGTTTTTCTGATTTTGTATAAATAACTGGGTGAAAATCACTATTATCATGCATCCAGATACAAGTACCAAATGGGAAGACCAAAGCCGACTCACAGTGAAGAGAAACACGAGAGCAACGGCAAACACAGAGGTGACAGCGCGCGCTGAGACAGGCAGGTGCACAGGGACCCGGGGCCACTGGGGGGGTTGTGAAGTGCCCGCGCGGGGCAGCGCCGGGAAAGCGCCAGGTGCCGCGGGCGGCAGACGTCTTCGCGGAGGACGCTGTTCCTCCTACCGACGCAGGGGCGGAGACGCGGCAGACTCTATCCACACCGACCTTCGCTCAGTCACTGGCTGTCACTTCACTCCGATGCTCTGCTCCGTGACTGCTCCATAAAATAGCCCCTCCGTTTTCTGTGCTTCAGACCACAGCTCGCCCGGCCAGGCCCTTCCCGTGCGCACAGACCGCGCGTCGGAGCGGCCGGGCAGCTCAGGCACAGCACCCAGCGCGGGTCCGTTTGGGCGGCTTGTAACTGGTTATATCCACGGTTTGCGACAGCCCCTCTGCTCTCTGCCGCAAGATTGTGGGCACAACCATGTCAAACAGGGTCTCAAACAGGAGGTCCACGTTGTAGCCGGTTTTGGCGCTGGTCTCGAAGCACATCTGCTCAGCGGCCGGCACGTCCTTCTCGTCCAGCATCCTGTACTTCAGGATCTTTTTATAAAGGGCCACCGCGTCCTCGGGCCGCACCTGCTTAGGCAGCGTGGGGGGGGCGCCGCCGCCGCTGGGCCTCCCGGGGCTACACCCTTCCTGCTCCGGGCGCTCCCGGGCCCCCTCCTCGGTGAGGTCCACCTTGTTCCCCACGATGGCGAAGAGGCAGTCCTTGCTAGCCGTCTCGGTCAGGCCGAGGAACCTGTCCTCCAGCTCCACCAGGCTCTGCGGGTGATTGACGTCGTAGGTGAGGATGACAGCCGCCGCCCCCCGGCAGTACATGGAGCCCAGGCCGTGGAACTGCTCCCGCCCTGGGGGGAAAGGGAGAGACAGACTCGGGTTATCTCTCATCTCAGGGCGTGCCCACAGCCACCACCCACAAAGCAATGGGGGCCCAGTGAACTGGACGCCGAAGGGATGGCACCCCAATGTGCAAGAAAAGAGCTGACTGACCAAAGCCCCAGGTGGAGTTAGAAGCTGGCCTAGGAGCCCAGGCCTCCGATCAACACGCAGCAGAGTCCTCTCTGCGCCCTCCTTCCTGTCGGGGCCACAGCCCCCTCTCACCGACCTGGCCCAGCCCACCGTCCAGGCTTCGAGAAGACAGACGGGCAGGCATGTGCAGACAAGCCAGGAGCCTGCTCACAACTGGTTTCCAGGTCTCACAAAACTCCGGACTTAGCTCATCATCAACACTGACAACAGACACGTGTCCTCTTGATCCCTGAGGCTGGCAGGGAACAGAGCCGCCCAGCACACAGCAGGCACCTCCTGGTGTGCGTGTGCTACTCTGTCCGCCCCAGCAGCCCCGACCTCACTAGGCCCACATGGGCACACACCTTCCCACCAAGGGAGTCAGGTGTGGGGGAGTCGGGCACAGCAGGCTTGAGAGAGGCTGGGCCAGGACACTGGAACCTCTGCCACTGTCCTGGCTGCAAATGCCAAGATCCCCCACCCCACCCCACCCCCACCACAATCAGTGGCTAGAAAATAGAGTTAGAAGGGCCGGGCTGTTCATACTTTCACAGCATGATCGCCTGATCCTGCCAACCCAGGTTAACAACACACTCCCCAAACACACTCCCATCAGCACACGGTGGTCTCCTGTCCCCACCCCAGGACCGTACAGACCCCAGGGGGCTGGGTCACCAATCCCCACCCCCAATAGGCAGCTCCAGCCAGCTCAAGAGTCACCCTAGAACTTTCTATGGAATTCTGTGACCTCTGCCCTAGCATGACCCTTCTGGGGACGTGGATCTGGAGGACACACTCCTTCAAGGGGAGCAAGTCCAAGCCAAAGCAGGTGCTCCAGGGACAGGTGCAGCCCCCAGAGCAGGGGCAGAAGCCCCAACATGGGGCCAGGCCATTCCCAGCCTGCTGCAGTGTCTGGTCCTCGTGTGGTGTGTGCCACATCACAGGGACAGCTCTGAGCAAGCAGCCATGGGACAGAGGCACCGTGTGCCATGGCTTCCACCTGCCTCTTCTGGGAGAAGGACGCTGCCTTTCTCACAAACCCTCCCTGTTGGGGGTAAGGACCCTTACAAACAAACACTCCTGGTGACAGATGCAATTTAATCTGGTGACAGATTTGTTTTAATCACCAAACCCCAAGTTTGTTTTAATCACCAGACTCCAAATCAGCAAACCTCAAGTGAGATATTCCAACCACAAACCCCTGCCCCACACCACACGCCCGAGGGCACATTTTTGGAAGAGGAACGAAGAACATCCCCAACCAGCCTGACCTCCCTGGGGACAGACTCTGCCCCTGAGGGAGCCCCCAGGGGAGCTCTCTGCAGACAGCCTCGCAGGGGCCCCTCAGGCCAAGCCCCACAGCACCCGGCTTTGGGTGCTGTCTCTTTCCTCCCCAGGGTGCCAGGTGGCCTCCCGGGCCACGCCCTTAGACCAAGAGGTGGGTGGCAAAGTTGGGTGGCCACTGGTCTCCACTCTCTGGAACTTGGACTCACAAGTCCAAACAAGGCTGGCTGGCTGTCGGTGTGGAGAGAGGTGGGCACCTCGGGACAGTATCCACACCCTGTTCCAATCACTCCCACAGGTAAAGCAGGCCCAGTTCTGCTTTTTAAAAAAGAAGCTAAACATTTGGACTTTTCTGAGCAATCTCCAAGGTTTTAAATGTTCAAAATTAATTCAAAAAATGTCCTAAAGATCACATTTAGGTAAACCAAAATGCAACAGTGGCCCATGATTTACAGCTTCTAAGTGACCCAAAGTCTCTGTGAGGGCAGCTGCCCTGGGTGTGTGGACAAGGTTGACCACACAAGGCCCGTAACCACCGGGGTTGTGAGCTGAATTCAGGGGTCTGTGAGCTGAATTCAGGGGTCTGTGACCTTGAATAGGGGAGGAAATGTCGTCTTTATCTTCACCATCCTCTCACCGAAAACTTAGCATTTCCTTCGATTATAAATATTGGCAACAAACTGCAGAAACGGCAATACGGGATATTTATCACCAACCAAAATGACAGAAATAACATGTTACTAATGAAACACACGTCAGTCGTAATTTTTAAAAACTTTGGGACAACTGTATCTCAAAATGTGGTCACCTCTGTGTGCCTAGGCGTCCTTGACACAAAAGAAGGTAAGAGCCTGGGTCTGCGGGTGTTTGGAGCATGGCTTGAAGGCGTGACACCTGCACACATGCATTTATATAAAACAGCATCCTTTGCTAATAGACCACTGTTTTCAGCCATATGGCCAAGAAATACACCGAATTCCACCCTATCCCAATCCTGAAATGGCCACGTTCTGACACACAGTGCTTAGGCCTGGCCAGCAACACTGCCTCAATTTTTCGAGGCAGGTGGTCACCTTGAGGCCAGCCCCGGAGAGAGGAGCCTGAAGGACACACACCCACGCCCTGGAGAACGGGTGGCCCGACCCCCTGGTGGCTGCCGTCCCCACGCCCCGCCGGGCTCCAGCTCTAGCTCCAGCAAAGCCCCGGTGTTTGAGCGAGTGGGCCAGGGGGGAGGGGAGCCGGGGCGGGTGTGGCAGGAGTTGGAGGTATGCGCCCTGGGCAGTCTGACTGATGGGCAAAGTGCCAGGACTGTCAGGGTCACCTCCCTCGTCTGGGAAAAGCCAGCCTGGGAACTTTTTAGTCTGGGCCACAAGGTCACCCTCTTGGCAGGCGGTGCGTGCTCTGGAATCCAGCCCCGGAAGAACAATGCTCCTCCTTTGGCACACCTGTCGCAGACCAGCCTGGGACACGATTTAACCACAGGTGTCCAGTCAGGTTCTGCGGGACCAGCACGCAGATCCCACAGTGCCCCGGGTCAGTGGGCATTGTCCTGCCACAGAAGACGCCCAGGGGCCTTTGAAACCCAACACAGGAACTGACAACAGCAGGTAGTAGTTGAAACAGGAAAGGAAAGGAAGGAAGGCTTCCCGGTCGGTCGTTGCACGGCGCTGAGACTTTCCTTTCAGGCGCACTGATCCCACAGATAGCAATCCAGGCAGCGTGAGGCCTTCCAGGAGCCAGAAATGTCATCAGCTTCTACCCGCCGGGTTTCACGAGACGGCGACTGTGGGAACACAGAGCCAGGGACATTCCAGCTACCCAGGAAGAACCATTTTCACCTCTCTGTCACATAGTTCACTCAGGACAAAGGCAGAGCTGTGTTGATGCCTGTGCCTAAAATAGTTTTCCATTGCAGATAAAAATGTCTGATTAACCTTTAAAAAACTAGAAAGGAAACAATAATAGTAGCTAAAGAAAGCAGGAAGCAAAGAACCCCATGCCAGCCAGGAAGAGCGAGCAAGGATGGCTCCTCAGTACTCTGCGATCTGCCCGTCAGCTCGGGCAGTTTCCCAGCTAAGGCATTTACAAATAAGAGTTTTCATATCTGAAGTCCTTAAATGCTGTTTTCGAGATCATTTACAGCTTTGGGGATTGCTAAGGGAATATTCAGGCTGCTCTAAATGAGTGCATTGTCCATAACAAGACAAGCTAGTCCTACAGGGGACAGAAGTTCTAAATTTAATCTTAACTGAATTTAAGTGGGGACTCTGGTATTTCAGGCATGACAATAAAGATAAAGTGGTAAGTCACTCAGCCTTGGTCTTCTGCACTTGGCTTTGACAAATTCACAGTGCGTCTGAGTCCAGGGCCCTAGTAATCTCTCTGGCCGTGTGTGGGTGTGCACGGAGCCGCGAGGGCGAGCCCTGCTGATGCAACTGGCAGTGCCTGTCGGAGTGGGGGTCTCCCCTCTCCAAGGATGGGCTTGAACGGGGTATGTCACGTGTCCCTCCCCGGTAACTGCATCAGGCATTTCTACCTCTCTCACCTTTTTTCTCAAACCTGGGTCCCAATTCTGCAGCTGAAGCTATAGGAATTCTGGTGGTGCCCTTGGCTTGGGCTTCCCTGGAGAACTAAACAGCCTCATGGTCCAATTCTGGGCATGGCAAAGCACCAGGCTGACCCAGAACCAAAGCAAAAGAGAAAAATACAATTGGGTTCGAATTCTACCAATGCAGCCAAGGGCCAGTGAGCTGCTGAACCCTGGTCTGGTCAACTGGGTGTGGCACCGCCGATATAAGGCCTGCTGGTCCCGGCTGTGGTCGGGTCTGGAGGCAGGTGCTTGACCGGAGGAGGCCCAGCCTCCTCCTCGGCTTCTGAGCTATCTGTGGGGCCTCGGGGCTGGGAGGACTTGAGACTGACCAGAGTCTGGGGGTCCAGGTTAGACTTGTCCAGGAGTTATGACGCATCTATACAGCAAATCCACAGGGATCTGTTAAGCTTTATGTTGCCAACACAATTCAGACATGGATGTCCATTATTCCTGGTGGTTAAGGAAAACTAGAATCTGTAACAACATTTCCAGTATCTGATCAGGCTCATTGTGGACAAACTACTGACATGCAGCAAAACTGACAGGGACACTTACTGGTGAGTCCAGAGCAGCTGGAGAGGGAGGCCCCTGCTCTCTGCAGACAGGGCCCTGGGGTGCGGGGAGGGCAGGCCCCACCTGGCCTCACCTTTTGCAGACAGGGCCCTGGGGTGCGGGGAGGGCAGGCCCCACCAGGCCTCACCTTTTACAGACAGCGCCCTGAGGGTCAGGTCTCACCAGACCTCACCCTCTGCAGACAGGGCCCTGGGGGGGAGGTGACCAGAGGTTTGCCAGAGTCTAAGGCCTGGTTTTCAGATTCACAGATCTAAAACCACAGTTGTGTTTGTTCACCCACAGAGCCAATTCCATTCCCTAGATCCCTAGATGTGGTTTATGTTCTGCCTGAGCAAGAGAAGGGGCTGGAAACCAGAATACCAATTTGGTAATTTATAACAGGGATGAGCTACT